CTTTTGGTTAGTAACTATTCACCTTTTGGTTAAGGGCTGTAACCTCTGTTACAGCTCCCAGGGACCAGAGAACAGCGTGGTCTGCTGGAAACAGATGGAGGATTCTGAGTTAGGCAGCAGTCTTTCTCTTTATGTTAAAGAACTCTTTCAGTCATATGTGTGGTTTGTTGGAAACTTTTGTATGTATGAAGTTCCACTGTTTAAAAAAAGTTACTGCAAACTGGAAAACACAGGCTTGTTTCACGACCTGTTTGGGTAGGTGGTGGAGCTGAGGGGGCCATTGACGTCTGTATTTTCAGTAAGAATTTTTTAAAGTATTGAGTATTAATATCAGTTAAATACTATTAGGTGCTGTCAACTTAAGTACAACTTCTATGAACAGACCAGAACCCTGGCCCATCCTGTGCTGTCCTCACCGTCTCTGACACACTCAAGCCCATTACTGCAGTCTTTGTGTTAACCCACCTGGTTGAGGGTCTTCCTCTCTTTCCAAGCATGACGTCCCTCCACAGGGGATAGCCTCTCCTCACAACATGCCCCCAGTATGAGAGATGAAGCTTCATCATCTTTGCCTCAAAGGAACATTCTGACTGCACTTTCTTCAAGACATCTTTATTTGGAGATGTTGTTTGTTCTTTTGGCAGTCCATGGGACGTTCAGTTCTCTTCTCCAACATCAGAGTTCAAAGGCGTCAGTTCTTCTTCTGTTATCTTTATTCATTGTCCAGCTCTCTGATGCATAGAACGTGACTAAAATGAGCATAAGCTGAATCAGGCATACCTTAGTCCTCAAACTGACATCATTGCTCCTTGATCCTTTGGAGAGGTTCCCGACTACAGACTTTTCCCAGTCCATTTGGTCTCTTCTGACTGCGGTAATAAGTGTATTGATTGTGGATCCAAGTAAGATGAAGTCATTGACAATTTCAGTCTTCCTCCATCTCCATGTTGTCAGTCCATTGATGAGAATTTTTGCATTCTTGACATTGAGATGCAATCCCCATGGAAGACTGCAGTGTTTAACCTTCTGCAGCAAGTGCTTCAGGTTTACCTCACTTTCAGCAAGCAAGGTTGTGTCATCTGAATAATGAAGGTTATTGACGAGTCTTCCTCCAATCCTGATGCTACATTCTTCTTCATAGAGTCCAGCTTCTCAGGTGATTTGCTCAGCATACAGACTGAGTGGTCTGCAAAAAGGATGCCACCCTGATGCACACCTTTCTTAACTTTCAACTATGTAGTGTTCTCTTACTCTGTGCGTGCGACAACCTCTCCGCCTAGGTATAGGTCTTGCATGAGCACAACTAAGTGCTGTGGGATTCCCATTCTTCTCAAAGTTAGCCATAACTGATTCACACGGTCAAAATGCCTTTGCATAGCTAATAAAGCATAAATAGACATTCTTCTCATATTCTTTGCTATCAGCTAGGATCCATCTGATATCAGCAATGATCTTGCTGGTGCCACAACCTCTTCTAAATCCAGCTTGAACTTCTGGCAGTTCTCTGTATACTATTGTAGCTGTTTTGAATATCTTCAACAGTCGTTTTCTCGGATGTGATACTAATGGTTCCGGTGGGTAGTTTCCGCATTTGCCTTTGAATCAGCTCAGGCACAGAGTGACGCTACAGCGGGAGGAGACACTCCACCGCCCCGCGCCACCCTCACTGTAACGGCTCTGCTCCAGCCCCTTGTGGCAGTGCCTGTGTCAGCCCCTGTAACCCTGGGTCATTTTCCTGACCCTCTCTTTGATCCAACATGCTGTGTTTCTCCAGGGACTGACCTGTCCTGCAGGCCCAGAGTGTCGGAGATGAGCTTTCACCATCCTGCCGTCTAAGAACCCTCTGGCTGCTCCTGAACTAACAGTTTTACTCTGGGGGTTTGCCATTAAGATTGATTTTCACACCTTTGTGAGGCCTCTGCAAAGAATAGATTCTGTGCTGAGAATCTCTTTAAGTAGGAATGTTTGGCTTTTTAAAAAAGAATTAGAAGATAAAAGTGGAAAATGTCTTGTTCCCATTTACTAATGTTTTGTGCAGAAATTACATGCCCAGGAAATTCTCCTTAAGCAGCCGTTCGTCCTGCAAGCCACTGTGTCCCATGGCTGTGTTACTCACTAGTCCATTTCAGCGGCCGCGTTAGAAGATTTCATAAGCCGCTCTTGTCATATCAGGTGTCAGAAAGTTCCAGCGCTGGTCTCATTCTTACTTCTCCACTAATGTGGCATTATAGAAGGCTTTAATCTATTTATCTGTATATTTTTAACTTTTAATGTCTCTCCCTGAAGCAATATTCCCAGCTTCTTTGAAGCACTGGATGAATGATGTGCAGGCAGTGTTGTTAAATGTGTGTATCCCTCGAGGACTGTTGACACCGTGTGAAGAGTGGACGCTCCGGTTGGTGTCAGCCGGGTACTCTCACCTGGACTGGATGCTGCCGGGAATGCGACCTCTGTGGTCTCATATCTGTCCTGTCTCCCTGTGTTCCTTGCCCCTGGGCTGGTGGCTTAGTGGTAAGGAGTTGAGCTGCCATCCCAAAAGTATGCAGTTCAAATCCACCAGCTGCTCTGTAGGAGAAGGGTGGGCAGTCTCCTCCTGTGTGATTTAAAGCTTCTGAAAACCCGCTGGAGGGTCAGCTGTGGGTCTCTTCCAACTCAACAGTACACAACAACAACAACAACAGTCTAGGGAGAACAGTTAGACCACAGGACACATGGTCTACACAAACCTGTCTCCTCCAGCCCGAGACCAGAAAACAAGGTGGTGCCTGGCTGCCACTACCAACCACTGTGACAGGGACACAACAGGAGGTGCTGATTAGAATATGAGAGAAATAGAGAACACAGCTCAAGTTCCTGTGAAAGGTCAGCCTGATAGAGGAGAAACCCCTGAGCTATAGTCCTGAGACATCCTTTCAAACTGGAACTAAAGCCACTCCTGGAGGTCACCTTTCAGCCAAATAATAGTTATATATAACTTTTCAGTTTGTAAAGTAAAAGAAACACTGACACTTGTGAGGAATATGCTCCTTAGAACCAACAACTGTGTGAGAGCAGATGTAGCAACGCTTGAGTGAGAGCAGAGGTGCAGCGAGGAGGCAGAGAAACTGGGTGGGGGTGCAGAGCAGAGGTGCAGCGAGGAGGCAGAGAAACTGGGTGGGGGTGCAGAGCAGAGGTGCAGCGAGGAGAGCAGAGAAACTGGGTTGGGGTTCCGGAGGGAGGGCGACTGCCAGCGCCCTGTGAGGGTGGCATCCTGATCATAGAGCAGTTTGTGCGTAAGATGTGTGTCGTTTGCTATGAAAACTTTCATATGTTTACAAAGTGTGTGGCCCGGAACCCAGCAGATGACATGTGGTTGCATGCATTTGACTGCAGAAGTAGAGCACCTCAGGGTGGGCAGTCAGGGCATTTTCCCACTCACGGACCTCATCCACTCTCACATACACTGTCTTACACACACACACACATGCAGTCATTGTGTTATTGTCTCCTTTTCCTATTAACAGACCTCATCTATGATCCTCTCATATACACTGTCTTTTACACACACACACGCACTCCCTCTCTCTCTCTCTCTCACACACACACACACACACACACTCTCTCTCTCTCTGTGTCTCTCTCTCTGTCTCTCTCTCTGTCTCTCTGTCTTATTCACTCATTGTATTTATGTCCTCAACACCCAGGCTTCCAGAACAGAGGAAAAACCCCAGTGAGTGTCCACCAGGTGCCTGAAGTGTGGATTTCTTTTTGGGATCACCCAGGTGTTTTTAGCTGTCCTGTCCTAGAACGTCCCGGGAGAAATCGGTTTGACAGCTGTTCCATTAAAGCCAAACACTGGCAAAACATGTCTGGCAAATAGAGAGGGACTAATCCTTGGGAGCTTGACTTGTTCCCATGTTCAGACTTGCTCAGGCCTCTGTCTCAGCTGCTTCAGTGGCAGGGACATTGAGCCTCTGGTCACCCCCCCTCCTCATCTGCTTGGCGGGAGAAAGACATGTTGCTGGTTTCTGTAAAGATTTCAGCTGGGGAAACCCTGTGGGTAGTTCTCCTCTGTCCTCCAAGGTCAGGAGCCTCTGCTTTGAACAGGACATTTGAACCTACACTATAAATGCCATTTTCCTCCCGGTAAGGAAGATTTGAAAGATAAAGCTCTGTGCTCACAGAGGTGGGTGAAGGTATGACTTAGGATTCTTTCCAACCCCAGCTTTTGACGGTGTCTCCCTCCCAAGGAGAACCCTTCATTTTCCAATGTGATGTTCCGTCACCTGACCACTCCCAGCAGCTCTCTGAACAACAGATCTGAACCCTGACTTCTTCGCTGTCCTCACAAGCTCTGACTATGTTGGAGCCCATTGTCACAGTAACATGTGAGCCCATGTCGAAGGCCTTCCTCTCTTTCTCTAACCCTCCACTCTGCCGGGCATGTTGTCTCTTTCCAAGGACTGGCCTCTTCTGTCAGCGTGCCCCAGGTATGTGAGGCCTGGCTTCACCATCCTTTCCCTCACAGGCACCCTGGTAACACTTCCTCCAGAGCAGACTTGTTTGTTCTTTGGCTCATGCCTCCACCCTCCTGGCGGTCCGTGGGATAGTTCGCATGCATCAGTTCCACCCTGGCTTCCCTTATTGACATAGTACACCAGAGACGTTGACAGACTCACTGAGTTCTGTGCCTCTCATTTGGTGTGTTGATGCAGGTCAGGAATGCTGGGGTCTTGAAGATGGTGCAGGAGATGTGGACGGTCTCACTGGCCGCCGAATGTTTGTGAACACTGACCTTTTTTGTCTGCTTGTGCTCCACTGTAATGCAAGGAACCAGCCCGCTCTCTTGGGAAACAAAGGCTGTTGCTGGAAAGCACATGGTTTTGAAGCAGAGGGACTGAGAGGCTAAAGAAAATTTAGTTAGAACTTTCTGAAGCCCAACAGAAACTTTAAGGAAACCTGGAAAGAGCCCTTCAGAGAGCTGTTTGAATTAAATCTGTGATTGTTTCTCTTCCTTTCAGATTCAACCCTATGACAAGATAAAGGCCCGGGGCTTACCTGACAACATAGCTTCTGTGCTGAACAAGCTGGTGGTGGTGAAGCTCAATGGCGGCCTGGGCACCAGCATGGGCTGCAAGGGGCCCAAAAGCCTGATAGGGGTGCGGAATGAGAACACCTTTCTGGATCTGACCGTTCAGCAAATTGAAGTGAGTCACGTTCGGCCTTTCACAGTCGATCCTCGAAAGAGGCATTCAAGTGATCTTCGGGGACGTTAGAAATGCCACGTTAGAAAAGGTGGCAGCTGTGGGCTTGAGCTAGTCTTGGTGATAGTGTGAAAAGGTTGGTGCTCCTCAGGACAGTAGAACCTGTGGTTGCTGAAACCCTGGATGCGTGAGCGTTCTCCTCTGACGGCCTCATCTGCGGGCTGCCCTCCTCGTGGTAGGGAGATCAGCTTAGAGTCACTCTTTTGAGGAAGCTGGACAGAGCGTGTGCACCCGGTAGACGTGCAGCCTGCTGGGAACTCTTTTTTAGCTTCTGATGGTGATGTCATGTCCAGTGACCACAGGTCCTTGAGGGCAATGTTGGTGAAGCGTCCAGCATGGGCCATGGGTCCTTCAGGGCTAGGATGGTGATGACGCATCCAGCTTGGGCCACGGGCCTGTGGGGTAATGGGGTAGCAGAGGTGATGACGCAGCCAGCATGGGTCACGGGTCTTTCAGGGCTGTGATGAGGGTGACGTGTCCAGCTTGGGCCACGGGCCTGTGAGGTAGCGGTGTCGATGATACATCCAGTATGGGCCCTGGTCCTCTTTCCACGTTATCCCTGGTGCCAGCACTCACTCTAGTACCACCAGCAGTGACTGCAGCCACCAGGTGTCCAGTGTCTGTTGTGACACAGGTATCATTCTCCACCCTTTATGGGAATTGACACATTTGTTCCTGTCCTCCGCTGGTGCAGGGACTGCTGTCATCTGTGTTAGAGTGGGGACACCAAAGCACTGACCTTGGAGGCCGAGTTACTGCCCCAGAATTCCCTAGCTCGTTAGGAAGTGCAGATCCCAACTTGGAGCCCTGGGCAGGATGACTGAGGACGCCCCAGGCCGTGAGGAGTATGGAGTCTTGGCCATTGGCCCCAGGCACAGGGAGGCCTGTCTCTGTAACATTTTTATATCCTTTCCACACCGCTCTGATGGTGGCGCACGGGTCTGATCGGAGTAGACCCCACATGAGGGTCACGGCCAAACAGAAGACCCCTCAGCCTGCCCTTCAGGCAACCCTGCAGCCTGCCCGTCAGTCAGGGGCAAACAGCAGACCCTGCCTCAGTGCGCTGAACTGCTTAACAGGATGTCCGGCTCACGCTAAGGACAGACAGACTGTGACGAATCTTTACATTCAGTCTTTCGTCAGATCGGTGCACAGACAGTTCTTAATGAACCACTCAGGTGATTTACATTTTTAAGCAAAGGGGAAGTAAACTCGAGTCACCTGATGATCGTTTCTTTCCCACCTCCAGCATTTGAACAAAACCTACAATACAGATGTTCCCCTTGTTCTGATGAACTCCTTTAACACTGATGAAGATACCAAAAAAATACTACAGAAGTACAATCATTGTCGGGTGAAGATCTACACTTTCAATCAGAGCAGGTACAGGGGCCAGATCGTGATTGTGGGTGTCCCTCGGGGTGGGTGGGGAGCGTCTTTGTCCTGGTTGTTCCCGGCAGCCTGGAGATGGCAGTGCCTGATCCTTGTGCCTTTGGAGCTGAATGAGGTAGATGACTCCTTGGGTCGCTCTCGGTCCTCTTGACCCGTGTCCATACCCAGGACATCAAAGCAGGGGGCTGATCTTTGCCTCCTGAGGGCCTTACTCCCAGGTGTGTCTCTGGGAAATCTCTCCACCACAGTACTGACCCCCTGCTTTGCTGTGAGCAGGGATGTCTTCAGCATCCTGCAGAGGCCTGGGGAAGTATAATCAGTTCTGGAGAAAATGTACTTGGAGGAGGAGGGAGTGAGTAAAACAGAGCTCGGGTGATGCCTGGGGTAGGGTGAGCCTTGTGAACTCAGCAGCTGACCACTGGGGTGTTCACAGCCGCCTGGGGAGCTTTAGGGTACAGTGGTGTTTTTCCCTGTCCCTGATGCTTTTCCCTGCGCTCTGATTGGCCTTCGCCGAGACAGTCCCGCCTCCCCCAGGCCTAGCCCTGCCTGCCTCTGGCCACTGACTCCCTGCTGATTTCCTGGGAAAGGGCAGACTCTCGGGAATGGATGTTTGTGGATGGGCAGCTTTTCCCACATGGGATTTCAGAGAAAAGAAAAATGCCACAGATGCTTGAGAAACTTCCTTCAGCCCTCTGAAGAGTCATAAAACACGTTAATGTGCTAACAAGGACTCCAGGTGGCCTCCTTTCTTTGTGCCTGTGGGAAATGCTTCTTAACACCCGGCACTGTCTATAGAACAAATTTAGGAGAGTGGATGTGTGAGAGATTGTCTTCAGTGGAACCACCTATAAGTAAATTGCTTACTCTGAATCAAGTAAATTGACTGTGGGGAAAAAAAAGGGAATTTTCTTTAACTCAAATTTATCGTTTGACTTGGAGGTTCAAGATGCTATCCAAAATTAGTATTAAGAAAGACTAATATTTCAATAGTTAGTATTTAATGTTTAGTATTTTAATCTTTAAAAAGAATGTTACTTTATACTAAAAAAAAAAGCAAAACCAACTTACTTTTGTTTTCTCCCCAGGTACCCAAGGATTAATAAGGAATCTTTACTGCCTGTCGCAAAGGATGTGTCATACTCAGGGGAAAACACGGACGCTTGGTATCCGCCCGGTCACGGCGATATCTACGCCAGTTTTTACAACTCGGGTTTGCTCGACACCTTCATAAGCGAAGGCAAAGAGTATATTTTTGTGTCAAACATAGATAATCTGGGTGCCACAGTAGATCTTTATATTCTCAATCACTTGATGAACCCTCCCAATGGGAAGCGCTGTGAATTCGTCATGGAAGTCACAAATAAAACGCGTGCAGATGTGAAGGTAATTTCCGAGAGGGTACAGCTGGGGAGTCACATCTTCACACTCTGTGGGTTGTGTTGTGCAAACCTCTTTTTAAAGTTCATCTTTAAAGAGACCATACGTACCCTCCACTGGCCAGTGTCCTTCTAAAGAACGCAGTGGTTTTCTCTGGAGGACCTGGGGTGCAGGTCGGCCCCTAGTGTGAGCCACAATTCAAAGTATGATTAAAAAAGAAATAAATAAAAATACAGTAATCTGAACTGAATATAGTTCCACAGGGTAAATCTGAAATATGTGAACATATTTGTACGATTTGTTTGAACTTTCTCATGTTCTACTGGTTTGGTGGTTCACTGTTTTTATTCATTTCCCTTCAATGAAAAGTTACTATTTCTATTTTATGTTATTCCATGGATGTTTGCCGCTGTAGACCGCTCCCTGGGCAGGTGACTGGAAGAGATCCATAGTTGTTCCCTTTTGGGGGGAGGAACAAAGTGATCTAACAGAATGTAGAAATTAGCAAACAGTTTCATTAATATGATATGCAAGTAAAAGCTTGCTGAAGATTATTAAACAACTGCAATGCTGACAATTCTCAAACAGCCACAGGAAATTTGTCAGGATTCTGGCTGGATTCAGAAGAGGTCAAGAGACATCATTGTTGATGTATCTTGATTGAAAGCAGAGAAAACCAGGAAGATGTTTACTTATGTCTTTTTGACTATGGAAAGCATTTAACTGTGTGAAATTGACAAGAATGGGAATCCCAGAACACTTGATTGTGCTCATATGAAACCTCGACCAAGAAACAGTTGTCCACGTGGAATAAGGTTTAAAATCAGGAAAAGTGTGTGGCATGTTGTATCCATCCTCCAAATCTATCCAGTCTGTGTGCCGAGCACATCATTTGAGAAGCTGAACTGTGTGAAGATGAATGAATGTGGCATCAGAACTGGATGAAGACTCTTTGTCAATAGGCTGCTTTATTATGCAGATGACACAACCTTGCTTGCAGAAAGTGAAAAAAATCTTGAAGTAGTTATTTACTGCAGATCAAAGCTGACAGCCTTCTATATGAATTCTATCTCAACATCAAGAAGTCTTCATCACTGGACCAAGAGTGATACTCTCCATCATTCTGGTGGAGAAAAGATTGCAACTGCAAAGACTGACTTGTTCTTCAATTCAGTCAGCATAGCAGCAGTCCAGAATTCAGAAGACATGTTGCATCGGGGAAATCTGCTGTCAAGAACCTCTCCAGAGTGCTGATGAGCAAGGATGTCAGTTTAAAGATTAAGGTGTGTCTGATCCAAGCAGTCCGATTTTCAGTTGCTTCCTATGCATCTGAAAGTTGGACAGTAGGTAAGGATGACAGAAGAAGACTCGATGCCCTTGATTTATGGTATTGAAGAAGAGTTACTGCGTATCTTATGGACTGTCAAAAGAACAAATAACTCTATGTTGGAGGAATTATGGCCAGGGTGCTCCTTAGAGGCAAGGATGGAAAAACTTGGTCTCTCAGACATTGTGCATGTTGTCAGAGTCCTTGGAAGAAGACCCCCTGCTGGAGAAGGCTCAGAAAAAGAGAGGAAGAGGGGAGCTCTGGTGGCCTAGTGGCAAGAAGCTGCATTGCAATCCCAGAGGCACACAGTCCGAATCCACCAGATGCTCTGCCTGGGAAGGAGGGACAGTTTCCTCCTGTACCAGTCAAATCTGATTTGACGGTACACACACACACACACACAAGATAATAAAAATTAAAAAAAAAAAAAATAGAAGGTGCTCAACAGGATGGGCTGACGCAGCTGACCCTGTCTATGGCCTCGTGTGTTGGAGATCACTAGGATGTCACAGGTTAAGGCATAGTTCCTATCTCTTGCTCGTAGCGTTGCTGCGAGTCACAGATAACTGGGTGGCACCAGAGAGCAACACTTTCAGTGTCTGTGTGTGTGTGTGGGTACGGTTTTCTCTCTGTAGTGTCTCTGTGGATGCATTTTGATTCACTCATCTGTTATTGTCTTTGCTCATGCTTGGACAGTACCACTTACACACAGGGAGGCCACGTTCAAAACTACAGCAGTAAAAAAGAACCCTCCCAAACAAAACCCACTGCAGCAGCCCGTTCCTTGTCTGGGTTCTGCCTTCCCAGTGTCCCCCTCCCTTGAGTGGCTGCCCTCCTTCCTACACTGTTGGACCTGCAGAAACATCCCTGGCTGAGGCCCGGCTGTGGTTCTCTGTCCCTCACCCCTGAGCCCGTCTGGGAGGCATGGGTCTGAGTGGAGAGAGGGGCCGTGCTCACGGCTTTCTCCCATCCAGGGTGGGACGCTCACGCAGTATGAAGGGAAGCTGAGACTGGTGGAGATTGCTCAGGTGCCAAAAGCCCACGTTGATGAGTTCAAGTCTGTATCCAAGTTCAAGATCTTCAACACCAACAACCTGTGGATCTCTCTCGCAGCAGTTAAAAGGCTGCAGGAGCAGAACGCTATTGACATGGAAATCATTGTGAATCCTAAGGTAAGGCGGGGTCTCAGGGCCCCGGGCTCCCGCCACAGACCCTGTCCCTCCCTGAGGCCTGGCGCTGCCCCTGGCTGCCGCCTCAGTGGCTTCCCTTCCTGCTTCCCAGGCCTGTGCTCTGCCCTGTGTTCTGATTGGGCCCCCACTGTCCTGAGGGCTGGGGGACCTACTGCATCTTGGTCACTGCCTCTGCACTGACCAGCTGTTTGGCTGTAAGCACCCGCAGCTTTCAGAGCCTCTGGTTCCTTAACAGTAAGACCAAACTGCAGCTGCTCAGAATTAAAGGCTGAAGAAAGCTCAACAAAGTGCCCCAGAAAGGTCAGCTCTCCACACACAGTGCCCTCCAGGGGGTGCTCGAGACCCTTCCCCAGATAGACAGCTGGGCCTACATGCAAATGAGCACCTAAAACCTGTTCCCCCTTTTCTTAACAGACTTTGGATGGAGGCCTGAATGTCATCCAGTTAGAAACTGCAGTTGGGGCTGCCATTAAAAGTTTTGAGAATTCTCTAGGCATTAATGTTCCCAGGAGCCGCTTCCTGCCTGTCAAAACCACGTCGGATCTCTTACTCGTGATGTCAAACCTCTACAGCCTTAATGCCGGGTCCTTGACGATGAGCGAAAAGCGGGAGTTCCCTACAGTGCCCTTGGTGAAACTAGGCAGTTCCTTCACGAAGGTAGGTGTTTCTTGAGTGTGTGAGAAATAGCCACGGACGCAGATGCCTTAAACACGTGCCGTTTTAAAGACACAGTGGCGTGGGACTCGGCGTCCACAGCAACTCTGATGCTTTCGGAAGGGCCGCTGCCCTGCATGCTGAAGACGTACGTCATTTCTCAGACGTGACTGCTCCGAGGAGAGGATAGGGTTTCAGTTTGGGGACAGTTCATCTTGTCTCTGCCAAGGCTTGTACAGAGCCACCAGATTTCTGGAGCTCCTGTTGTGAGCTGGGCAGGTTGAGGTGTTGGGATTTCCCCAGTAAACAAAGCTGGTGACTAGGGCTAGAGGCTATGGAGTAAGTTAGATGTTGAGTAGTAAGCCAGGTGGCGGGACATGCCAGGGAGAAAAATAAAGGCAGGTTAGTGTGAGGGGGGCACAGGAGGGCGCCCTGTCCCATCAGGTGGCCAGTGAGGCTTGGGTGAAGAGCTCCCTAGCAGGGGGTACGGCCAAACATAAACGTGCATCCTCACGTGATAACTGGAACCCACTGATGCTGAGATTCCCAGGCTAGTGGTGGGCGCACCTTTGCGGCTGCTCTGTGGGGCCTGGCTGCACCTTCCAGACCTCTTCTGGGCGCTGGGCCGCCCGGGGTGGCTATGTGCTCCTGGACTCTGCTGATGGCGAAGATTCTGGCTCGCACAGGGGTGCAGGCTGGGCTCCTCAGAACAGCTGCAGGCAGGGAGGAATCGCCCCATGTTTCGCTGCCACTTTCCTCAGCCTGGCAGGACCGGTGACACGAAGACCAGCCTGCCTTCCCTCTCGCTGAGATGGGGCTGCCTCACTCCCTTTTCACTGCACCCAGTTCCTCCCTCCTGCAGTGGGTGCTGATGGCGGCCAGCTCTTTCCGTTGCTCCTTTTTCTTAGCAAAGTAGGAAATGAAGCTCAACACAGAGCAGTCCGTCCTTCTTGGACATGCAGGGAGATAAAGAATAATAGGATTTAGACGGCGTCTGGTCTGTCCTGGACTGCGCTCCGTTTCTTTACCCACAACACCTAGCTCCTGTCCAGCTTGCCTTCTCTGTGCCTAAAACCATGATCTCTTCCTGTATTTTCCCAATGAAATCTACACTCGCCAGGCTTTTAGCATGTTGGCTGAGCTGCCATTTTTCCTGATCTACTCATCGGATAGTTAGGAGCTTGGTCATCAGAGGCAGGTTCCTGGCCCCTCCTGCACAGGGTCGGTCAAGCCTGGAATGATCTAATCAAGCTTCATGAGGTGATTCTTTTATTACTTTACAGTTCAGGTGGGCCATTTTGTTAATACCAATCCTGTTTTTCTGGCAGTCCATTTTGAAACAACTTAAAGGCTTTCTATTTTTCTTTGAGGTTCAAGATTATCTCCGGAGATTTGAAAGCATACCAGATATGCTTGAATTGGATCACCTCACAGTCTCAGGAGATGTGACATTTGGCAAGAATGTTTCATTAAAGGTGAGTTTAGAAAAGTAATAGTTTTTAAGAGCTTTCCAAAACAAGTTTCATTTTCCTGACCTAAATTATTGAGGAGCAGTGATGTCAGTTTGAGGACTAAGGTGCACCTGGTTTGGGCCATAGTCTTGTCCGTCATACACTGTATTTGAAAGGTAAATAATAAGGATGATAGTTCATCCTGGAGAGGGGGAAGCCGGGCGGCTCCTTGGAGGCAAGGATTCTGAAACCCCGTCTGACATATTTTGGACATGTTGCAAGGAGGGACCAGTCCTTGGAGAAGGACGTCATACTTGGGAGGGTGGAGGGACAGCACAGGAGAGGAAGACCCTCTATAAGGTGGATTGATTCCATCACTGGGGTAATGGGGATGGACGTGTCAGAGACAATCATACTGGCAAGGGATAGAGCAGAGTTTAGAGCTGCTGTACATAGGGGGGGTCACTGTGAGTCACAGGCGACTCGACGGCACATAACAAGGATGACAGAAGAACTGATGCCTTTGAGCTGTGGTGTTGAGTACTGAATATTCCATGGCTGGCCAAAAGAACAAACAGGTAGGTCTTTGAGAAAGTGCAGAGTGCTCCTGAGCAAGCCTTGTCTAACATACTCTGGGCATGTTGCTAGGAGAGGTTATTTCTTGGGGCGGGGAGGGGCATCATGCTTGGAAAGGCAGAGGATCGATGACTGCAGCCGTGGCTCAGAGATGGTGAGCCTGGCGCAGGCCCAGCCAGGGTTCAGATGTGATGTTCATAGTGTCGCCAGGAGTCACACTCGACTAGATGGCACTGAACAGCTCACTGCATTAGCATTAGGTCACTACAATGAATCTGAGTGAAAGCTGAAAATGATCACCTGACAGTGATTCCTGCTAATCTGTATTGTGTTGTGCGCTGTTGGGTTAGAACTGGGCCACAGCTGCCCCTCCAGCATGTTTTCAGAGGCAGTGAAATGCACAGGGGGAAAGGGCCCATATTTTTCCTACAGAGAAGGAGCTCGAATCTAAAACCACAGACCTTTGCGTTGGCAGCACGGTTCCTTACCACTAAGCCACAGAGCCCCTGTAATCTAAGTATTCAATACATTTGCTCACATCACCATAGGATTTCCCACCTCAGTACTTTCACCTTGGCAGGGAATCGAGAACTGTTAGGATTGTCACCGGAGGACTTCCCTTAACGGGCTTTCTCCCACACAGAGTGTTATAAATATAGTCACTCCATTCGTGAGAGTTCTCAATACCCTTGGAAGTCGTGCAGTTACTTGCATTTCAGTGTCACATATTGTGTTTTTTCTGTTACTTAGGGAACAGTTATCATCATCGCTAATCATGGTGACAGAATTGATATCCCACCTGGAGCCGTGTTAGAAAACAAGATTGTGTCTGGAAACCTCCGCATCTTGGACCACTGAAGGGAAATGCCGTGTGCCCGGTGTACTGACAACGTGCACCAGTGTCCCACAGTGCTGACGTGTTCTCTAGGACTGTAAAATAGGCAGGTACTTTACTATGTCACTGTACCCTGCAGAATTAGTTTTTAAATAGAGTTTTCTGCAGTATGCTTTTAGTCTAAGCAAAGCACAGATGGAAGCAACACTTTCTTCTTTGAAGAGAATCTGAAATTTAGTTAAAGTGCAATATTGTTTCATCTTAAAACTGGGGCAGCTCTGCGGGGCGATTATAAGAGGTGACAAGAGGTGACGGTGAGGGTCACTGAATTGCTTGTTCTTTCAGAAATAAAGCTGTGAAGCAATACATGTGTACACTTACACTTTTCATTAATAAGTTTATGAAATGGGAAAATAAAATGGTTTTACTCTTGCTAACCAGTTACCGCGTGGTTTGAAATGTTATTGGATAATGAAACTACTCCAGCCGGGCAGCCAGCACACTGTTTGCATTTCTAAGAATCTCTGCTGCATCCCTGTTTCTCCAGGAGTCAGACATGAATGAACGTTGAGTATCTCTTGCTCTGAAGCTGGGGTGCCTGCCAGGCTCCCACAGACTCTGCTGCTGAAACAAAGCGGTGTCTCTTTCCCTGCCTGGAGGGGACGGGTGGGCAGAGGGAAGCTATTTCTCCACAGCTTTGTTCTATAGTGTTGTTGAGTTGCTGTTGTGTAACGTCAGGTCGGAACCCTCCCACAGCTGACCCTCCAGCGGGTTTTCGGGGCAGTCAACTGCACGAGAGGGGACTGCCCATCTCTCCTGCACAGCAGCTGTCAGAATCGAACCGCGAGCTTTTGGGCTGGCAGTGCTGCTTCCTGACCACTAAGCCACCAGAGTGGGGCTACTACGTTTAAAGTTTCCTCTCCCTTGAAGCTGGCCTGCCACCCAGAGATGGTGGTGACAGCTGTTCCCTGCAGGGCTGCACCTTTTCTCTAAGGATCAGTCTCACTGCCCATCTCTCCATGCTTCTTTCAAACAGGCTGTCAGTTTCTTTTCAGAGTTCACTGTACGCTATTAAAAGAAGTTGTCTTTTAAAGTCTGGTCATGTTTTATGCCTTTATTTTAGATAAGACAGTTTAAGAACCAATGACAGACCTCTGCAGCGATAAAGGAACAGAAGACAGGCTTCCCTGTCAGGAAACGGGTGGGTGGGCACAAAGTCAGACCACTTGATTGTCCACAGGAGCGAGGGCGGCAGGCACTCTGACAGCCGTGAGGGGGACAGGCACTTGTGCTGGCAGCGTGCTGCTGACTGACTGAGACGACAGGTAGTGAAGGGTCTTACACAGCGTGACTCCTCACCTGGTGCATTCTGGCCCTGACACTGCAATCTGGAGGTTAAAATTCCATTTCTCCCTGGTCTTTGTTCACATACACACCAAAAATAACTTAAAAACAAGAACCCAGGGGGGGCATACTTCATGTAACCTAAATGTTAAAATGAGAACACACAAGAAGGCAGGCTCTGGGACTACACAGTCTTACCTGCTAGAAATAAAACAGGCAAAAGAAGAATGTTCATAGATACTTTTATAAAAATACAGCTATTCAACTGCAGCTTTGAAGACACCATTTCTGAAAAGTATTAAATCCGTAGTTGCATAAATAAATGCCAGGGTCTTGCTCTTTATTACTTGGCATCCAGTCTTTCAAGTTTGGAGGCATTGGAGGGCCTGAGCCAGTGGATGTGGTGGTGGGACGTGGGAGTGTGCGTGGCCCAGCGCCTGAAACTTGGCCTTCGTCACTGAAACAAAAGTGAATTCCTAAATCCAAGCAATCAAAAGATGTTTATTTTTTTTTAATAGAAAGATCTGTAAAAAAATAATTTCTCAAATAGCTTTTACTTTCATAGAGAAAACTTCCTACAGAGATTGACTAAGATTTGAATATTTTAAATTGTACCATCATTAAATAAGGTGGGACGCCATATGAATTTCATTGCACTGGAAGAAATGCAAAGCATTTTTTTTTAATATAAAGTATACAGAGCATTCTGGTCAACTACAGCTGTGTTACAGCCATGTCTTCTTTTGGATTTGGTCCAAAGAAACCTGAGTCTGTTTCCAGAGAGAATGAAAACGTATAGACACCTGATGGGCTCTGCTCAGTGCAGGCCGCACAGCGCAGAGCGTCCCTGTGAACCGCCGAGGCCGCATCCCGGCACGATGCTCCACGTCCCCGTCCCCACCCCGCGTCACCGGGGCTTCCGGGTGCAGTTCTCGAGTCTCAGGCGCCCAGCGTGCCTTCCGATGCACACATCCCGTAGTCAGACGGACTGGCCGGCTTCCCAGCGTGTCATCATCACCTCTTCTGTTCCCAGATCTCGGCCATGTTTAAGTCCAGATCTTTAAGGCCTTTTAAGGCTTGAAGATTTCCAGTGTAAAAAGCTACATCTGCTGTGACCAGCCTGCACAGTGGAGAGAAAATGAGGCTTTAATCTTCTTAACAAAAATCCCAAGATTTAAGTAGTGACGTGCAGACCCAGAGAGTCCTAGCTCCTAGAATATTATTTAAAATTCTTATTTTGGTTGTCAACCCACTACTTCCTTGAGCACAGTTCTACTCATATGGTTAACACACATGGAGAGTTTAAATGCTGGAAGTCAGGAGAAGGAATAAACTCAAGAGTGCTGAGTACATCTCCTGACAAGATCTGCCCAATGAAATGATTCTAAAAGTCAGATTTAACACTCAATTAAAATATATTTTCGTCTCAATGTGTGTGGGTTGCATGTCATTAGACAAAGGATGCACATGTACGAAGAAAACGGGCCAGGGCTGACCCCTCGACTCTTCACTGGGGCGGTGGCGTCCTGTCAGCTGGTAGCATTGGACCAAAAACCAGCCACCAGTGGTCAGCACGTGACATGTGATGGAAAAGAAATCAACTTCTCAGAACTGAGCTTCCTACACGCTAAAGTGTAACTTCCTTGAACTATGTAATAATAGCGACACTCACTCTTCCACTCCCTGAGAAAATACACTTTTTAAAAAATGTCACAGAAATGCTAATTTGATGTCACCACTTTATTCAACTGCAGTCTCAGTTCTTTAAGGTATATTCTTATTTCTTTAAAGTTTATTCTCATTTCTTTAAGGTATATTCTGGGATTCAAAAGGAAACTATAGTTTGGAAAAATGCCTTAAAAATTGCTGGGGAATTAAACATAAAAGGAGTTTTCATGCACAGATGGCAGATTTTTAATTGCTTGTGGTAGGAAATGCTATTTTTCAGATGAATGTCCACAGGGTAACAATCACTCCATCCATCCCTGAGAACCCCTCCAGAGGTGAAAAGGAAAAGCCCATCATGCACTGGTGTGGAAATCAGGGCCTGAGAAATAGTGGCTTAGTATTTGTAACATTTACCTGAAAAAGATTGTTTTTGTCCTGTACACACGATCAATTAAAGTCTAACTGGAAGAGTGGGCTTGAAGTTCCTTATAACTTAGCAGTCAGTATGCAGTAAGACCTCTCCTTGTGAAAAAAACTGATCAAAGTTCGACTCCATTAATGAGCAGATTTCAACTTGGTCCCAGCAGCACAACTTAGACACATCACACTGGCCTGGGGTCTATAAACTTAGGGTATTCTCAACTTAAAAATACTGTAAAAGAAATGCTGGAAGGAAAAAAATTCTTCCTCTTGTTATAGACAGGCAGTTTGAAATGCAAACAATATGCTGACCGGCACATTTTTACCTGAGTTACTCTAAAAATCAACACTCTTGTAATAAGTACCTTTTTAAAAAATTCTGCTCAGATGCTTTAAAAAGGAAAAGCCAGTTAAGCCATAGAGGCTCTCTGGGAGGTAGACGAGAAGCAGGTTGGGATGTAGGGGCGCAGGCAGGGGTTGTGTGGGCCCAGGGGGGGCAGGGGACACAGGGTCATGGTGGTGTTGTGAGCTGGAGGGCACTGTGGGAAAGACCATGGAGGGTGAATGCTGTGTGACCTGAAAGGCCTTCACTCCCACAAACCCACGGAGGTGAAGCGCTAGGGAACATCTGAGGTGCCGCGAAAGCATCAGTGTCTCATGTTTTACACACTGCTCTTCCCCAAACTCCTGGGAGAGAACCTGCGTCGTCACCCCTATTTTCAAAGCTAAGAAAATGAAGGCTCAGAGAAGGGAATGGATTTTCCCAAGTTTGACTACTTAGTGGCAGAACTAGAGCCCTGCCCATGTTTCTTTAATCCAAATAGCATGTGTTTTTTTTACTATCTATCAAACTAGTTCAATATTTTTTTCCTTCCCTATACACAGGGCAAGAGGTAGCACTCAGCTTCCCCCTCCCCAAGCCTCTGAGCTGTGGTGCTGGAGAAGAGTACTGACTATACCACGGACTGCTAAGAGAACAAACATCCTGGAGAGGGAGAAGCCAGGCTGCTCCTTGGAGGCAAGGATTCTGAGGCTTTGCCTGACATACTTTGGACATGTTGCAAGGAGAGACCGGTCCTTGGAGAGGGACATCATGCTTGGGAGGGTGGAGGGACAGCGCAGGAGGGGAAGGCCCTCAATGAGATGGATTGATTCAGTGACTGGGGTAATGGGGGTAGGTGTGTCAGAGACAATAAGGTTGGCACAGGATAGAGTAGGTTTCAGGGCTGCAAGCAAGTCGACGGCACTTAACACCACCACCACCCTCACACAGGACAGGAGTGGCATCCACTTCCTAAACCACATGCCTCCGGAAACTGTATGAACTCTGAGAAATGACGATAGTGACAGAAAGGCTTCATGTCTTTTGTTCATAGGGTCACTATGAGTCGTGCTCGACTTGACAGTAATCAATAACACCACCACCACAAAGGTTACACATTATTTTTCATAACCCTGTGAGGGAAATGAGGCTGATTTTCTCCTCACTTTAGAAGCGAGGCACAAGCCAGGTCACCATCATGTGACCAGCCAGATACTGGCCCCTGAATCTGGTTGGATGGAGGAAAGTCAGTAGAGACCTTCAAACCAGACCATTAACGCCAGGTAAATGATTAACCTCTCAGAAGTCACATCATATGATCATCACAGGCGGGGGGCACAGAGAACAAACACAAGGGGCCTGCAGAGTCCGAGGCCCAGGCAGGATTACGGCAGGCAAGGACAGCATTAGGAATAATAACCAATTACTAAAACGATTTGACATGTGAATAATATGATAAAACCATGTTGCCAACATACCCATTTAGAGGTCCTCCGTCATTGATCACATTTAAGTGAGATAACTGTTTCTTCAAGTGTAGTTTATAACTTGCGTTAATTCTTAAAAACAACATCTGGAAAAGAGAGAAAGGAACTTTCTCAGTGGTTGCTTC